GCGACAGCAGAGGACAATTTTTAATATTGATTTATTTTCAAGGCGACACAGCGTTCATAATGCACAACCTGCATGTTACAAATGTTGCGTTTTCTATCAGACTATTACCGGAAAATTTCTGGGCGGTAACGAAAGCAGATCTTGATTCTTCCCGATCGAGCCTCGGTGTCACACATACACTTCCGTCACAGCGGTTCAATTACGTTTCCTCTTTAGGATTTATCAACCATACAGTCTAGATAGCTGCACATTACACAGGCCCTATCCTTTCCCGACTTACCGACCCATCACAAAATTCCCGACTTTTTCCCGACCTATCTCAAAATTCCCGACTTTTTCCAGATTTCCCGACCCTGTGGGGACCCTGTAACTATGTTATACTATTGTAGAGCGCATGAAACACTTTCCCCAGTGGAAATACGCTGCTATATGTGACTTATTTCTATCATCTCAGACATTTCTGGAAAGGGGTCTTCCCCAGACAGCGATGAATGAAAGATGTGAGCAAAGTGAAAAGAACAAGAAGTTGTGAGACAGTGATAGCCTGTCAGGACTGCTGCATCTCCTGATCATCGAACGTCTGGAAAAAGTCTCTGTGCTCCCCACCCAGCCCAACACCCACTCCGCTTCTGCTGGTTCTCATAACATTGTTGTTGTTATTGTTGTTGCAGTTGTTGTCGATGTGACCTTGGCTTCTGTTACTTAGGTCAACATTGAACATACTTGGCTCACACGATGATGAAACTCGACAAGAGGAAACCTGCGTCAGAATGGTCGATGACGGGGAACAACAGAAGCCCCCTCTCGATACGACACGCTCGTGAAAACTGCCAGATGATAGTTTCTCAGTTGTTGCACCACCGTCATCGACATTGACGTCCATGCTACTGTCGTCTGCGTTTGTTGAAGTTAAAAAGTTCTTGTTGTTGCTGTTGTGTCTATTGTTTGAGGGACTCACACACGTGTTTTGAGAAGACACGTTGAGATTGGAAGAGGAGGTAGTCACAACCACTGATGAATTGCTCTGTGGGTCGTCACATTTCAGAAACTCTCTGATGGCTGCTGCAGGTGACTGCCACAGCACAAGCTGCATGCACGGTTTTTGTCTGAAAAAAAAACAACAACAAAAAACAAAACAGTTGAATCTGCTCAAACGCTTATGGCCATCTTTCTAAGACAATCTGTACCTTTGCAATTGACCACTAAATACTCTTGTCAGTTATAAAAATTAAGAATGCCTTCAAAAGTGGTACAAAGGTGAGGGGCAGAGGGACACGCCATTCTAGTCTAAGTGAGAAAACGGGTTGAAATACTCAAGCTCTCAAAAGTTTACCAAGAATTGACATCATAGTATATGTCACTCAAGAGCATTTCATGAGGAAAAATATTAGATCTATTGTTCCTAGCTGGGGTGGAAACCATATATAACAAGCCCGGTAATAACAGGGATCCGGTAATAACAGGAATTTTTTAAATACACGTTTTTTCCTACTTTTTGTCTCTATTATAAGTTATCGGCAATAACAGGGCCTCATCGGAGCCCAATCGGTTATAGCAGGGACAAAGGCTTGTATACAATGTGTAAAAAAAAGAAAGAGAGAGAGAGAGAGAGAGAGAGAGTGAGAGAGGGAGAGAGAGAGAGAGTGAGAGAGAGAGAGAGAGCAAGTCCACGCAAGCCACGCCACTGCAAGCACACGCAGCGGGTAAAGC